CAATAATAACCACCGCTTGTTATGAACCACTTCTTCTGGTTTGGCACAAATGTTATTGAATCCAGTTTTGGGTTTCGACACAAATCCGGTTCACATAAAGCACCGGTCGTTATGACAATCAAAGCCAACATTTGATAAATCATTTCTGTCTTTATATCAAACTAATCGATGGATAATAATCTCTAAATTGACAGTTATTTCAAAGACTACAAATGTAGACTAAAAATGATACAAGTATTAACTGTCACTAAACTGTCTATTGTTTATATTTGAATTAAACATGAATTAAACTTAATTATATCACGTGATTATTATTTAACTCTACTTTTGATTTAAAGTTTTTACAAAATATCTATAGACTTACAAACAATTTACTAGTTTTGTGTATAAATTTCAAATTTGCGATTATTTTAATCAGTAATCAATGCGAGCAATAATTAAGTTATTAGTTTAATAAATACAATTTTGTTGAAATCATGTTTTATTTGGCAAATCATCTGAAAATAATGAGTTTCAAATTTTGAACACCAATTTAAAAATATTGATTTAGTTTAAATGGGGTTTCAATTGTATAACAAAATACAATACACTTTCAGTGCTTAAAATACCGTTAGATAAGAAACTAAATAAACTTTATTCAATGTGTTTTGCAAAACATTTAAACCAATATAAACACAATTTCAATCAATTTATAAAAATACAAATTGTTAATACATTTCCAAAGGTATGGTTTTATTAAATCATAAATATATAACAATAATGTCAATAACCCGATCTCACATTATCTCGCTCCCTCGTTATAATTGGATGATATTGTGGGTGTGTATGAATGCGTTTGTATGGCTTGAGTCAATGGGGGGCAGAAAAAGGGAGCGTGAGAATAAACTTTATTCAATGTGTTTTGCAAAACATTTAAACCAATATAAACACAATTTCAATCAATTTATAAAAATACAAATTGTTAATACATTTCCAAAGGTATGGTTTTATTAAATCATAAATATATAAGACTTATAACATTAGAAAAACAAAATAACAAAAAACTATTATCAAACTATTAATGGCTTATTTGAGTGCTTTATGCGCTAATATTTGTTTAATTTTGATCCTATTGTTTGGGTCGGGATCCAGGAGTTTGTTGACGAGATCTATGATATCATCACTTAATTTGGTTTTCATTTTTTGGTGAAATTTATAATCTTTTTGCTGTTTTGCGCGAATCATTTGTGGCAGAGATAGCGTGTCTTTGAATGGTTTGTCGTAATTAATCATTTCATACAAACAGACGCCCATTGAATACAAGTCGGCAATGAGTGGGTCATATGGCGAGCCTTTGACGGCCTTATGGACCTCCGGCGCCATATAGGACGGGGAGCCGCACAGCGTTTCCCGCATCAGTCGCTCGCCTTTCTTCTCACCCATTATAGCGAACCCAAAGTCGGACAGAAGTGCCATATAGTGGTCGTCGAGCAGAAAGTTGTCCAGTTTTAGGTCCCGGTGTCCGATGTTTCGGCTGTGAATGTACGACAGGCCGGCCATCAGTTCGCTGAACCAGATCTTCGCCCGATTCTCTTTCACCGGACTCTTGGCCTTATCGACGATCGCGCGAATGGATCCGTTGGGCGCCAATTGCATGAATATAAACACCACTTTATTTGTGTTGAATATTTCGTACACTTCGACGATATTCTTGTGCTTCAATTGCTTCACAATTTGCAACTCTCTGTTAAGACAACTGTGTTTCCAGAGGTCCGACACCTCATCCAACGCTATGCGTTTGCATGCGATGTCTTTGTTGGGCCGTCCCGTCCAAGTGGCCCGATATACCGTCGAGTACTGTCCCGACCCTATCCTGTCCTTCAGTCCGAATCCCTTGTCTTTAATTGATTTATACAATAGAGGAGTGGTATATGTCTGGTCCGACTCGTCGTCGCCATTCTTTACATTCGCTGTCTTTTTATTTTCACTCATTTTTGTCGTCAATCAATCATTCATTCATTTTATGGTCAGTTTGTCAGAGAGTGAGACAACCGATCGGTTGCCATAAGTAATGTCAGGACAAGTAATTTTAAATGTTGTGAATTAGCCGTTGGTTTGTATTCACGCTCTCATTATATAATTAAACAAATTTATTTTATTCAGTGTTAATACAAGTCAAGTGAAAATTGTGTCAAACAAACAATAATTAAGACAAGAATAATAATAATAAAATAATACAATGTTTTATATCCGATAATTCAATCAATTGTGACAAATATTTTAAACAAAAGTGTATTAAATAACTATAAAAATTACAAATGATTTATTGTTACATTTTTTTAGTTTAAATTTGCAATCAAAATGTATGTAATTGTGATAATTAGTAATTAAACATAGAATTAAAGAGCTGATCGAACTGATATTATATAAGTTACCAAGCATTAAATGGATTATAAATCCTTTCGAAATTATCACCATCTAAGAGATCCAAGTCCGAATTGGAAACATAATTTGAATTATTGACAATTTGACTACAATTAGGGCACATATCACTCGTATAACGAACTAATCGCAATATTATTGGCATTACTTTCTCCAATAAATAGTGATCAGTGAAGCCATTGATCGCTTTCAAGTAATCCATGTCTTTCTCAATGATTTCCTGATGTTTTAAATCAATAAATGCCTTCACTTTTGTGTTCAATTCTTTCATATTATAATTGAATCCAATTTTCGATACAAACGGCAAGTTTTGCATTGAAATATGTTTAGCCAAGTGTTGGCCAATCACTGGCAAAAAGCGGGGCAAACCGTAAACGTCGGTCAGTTTGCATACTTCGGTCACGAGATCGCGATTCAAGTGTTTGTTGCCATCAAATGATAACTCACGTGAATATAAGTACCAAATGACGGCTTTGAACGCCTCATAAGTGACTTCTTTGATCTCAATCTCCTGTTTCTCTGATTCGGCAAAACTTCCCGAAAACATGGCTCTGAAGTAAACGCTTCCCATCATTAATGTCTGTCTCAATGCTGGAAGTCTTTGGCCATCGATTATGAATATGACATCACTTTTGGATTCATTCATAAAGTACTCCATTTCTGGGAACAAATCATTGGTTTCTTTGGTTTCCTATAAAACCCGTGAAATAAATGTTAAAATGCATTGAAAATAACACTTAATTGTAAAATTCATTCAACACTTGTCTCTCAATAAATATACAAGTCTTCACTCATACCTCGGGTTTCATTTCTGTATCATTGGATCCGTTGTCCGCCATATCGTTGTCTTCAATACAAATCAAAAGTCAATTAATTTCAAAAATTAAACTCAAAATCAAATCAAAAGTTTTGAAACGATTTTTAGTCGTATTTTGAATGCAAATGAAATGAAGCGATGATTGCATGAAATGAATACAAATATAGCGTTACATTCATTATAAGCCATTTGTCTCAATACAACCACTCATTAATGCTTACGATTAGTGTTAGGGTTTGTATAAAACACTAATTATTTGTAACACTGTTTGTGAATCACTCATAATTTAGTGGTCAATGTGTGGGTTACTAGAGGTCAGAATTTTAGTGAATAAACACTGAAATTATGTATGTTTTGAATGCAATTATCACTTGATTTAGACCTCTATTGCACTTTGAATGCAATGCAGTATTGAATGAACACATGTTTCACTCCAAACACAAACCAATCATAAAATAGTCGTTAATTTGCATTCAATTGGCGTTTATTTGGACACAAATACCAACACATGTCTGACGCGAACGGATCCCAACAGGAATTGAAATGAATTCAGTAAAGGACTCTTAAACACCACTTCTCAGGCAATGAAAACACAAACATTTAAATGAGTGCTAATAATGAGTGACATAACCATTGATTAATTAACCATTGATTTGATGATCACTTTTGCAGCCAAAACACGTTAAAGACATGAGATATCCAGAGATGTCGTGCTTTTTGAACGAATCGGAAAGCGATGTCGTCTTCATAATCGATGGCCAAAATAGTTCCCGCTTTGAGACAATTCAATGACATATCCAAGACTTGGAAGAGTTATGATTGCATTCATAATATTTGTATTTCAATTTCATTATAAAAAGTTTAATATTTATTCGCATATTATTATCAATTGTATTATTTTTATCAAACATTTAATAAAATACAAAATAGTTTACGAAAAAATAATTAGTGATTAATTATGTTAATTAACAAACATATGAATAGAGGCACTGTTTTGTGGCAATTGTTGCCATTAGATTGGGATCGATGTCTTCTTACCACATGAACTGCAATACAATAAAAGCGGATTATTTCGATTGCAATTCATACAAATGCGGTCAAGTGGTGGTCGGCGTGCCTTTGCCACCAATTTGGCCAACAAATGGCCATCACTTGCAATAACCAAATTTGTCAAGTAATCCATGTTTTTGGCAACGATTGTCTCGTAATGAGAATCAATAAATTCCTTCACTTTTGTGTTCAATTCTTTGATGTTATAATTGAATGCAATTTTCGATATAAACGGCAAGTTCTCAGTTGTCATGCGTTTAATAAAGTGTTCGCCAATTAGTTTCATAAGTCGGGGCAAACCGTAAGCGTCGGCCAGTTTGCAGACATCGAACACGAGATCGCAATCAATGCCTTCATTGTCTTTGAACGACAGATCGCGTGAATATAAGTACCAAACGATGGCTTTGAACGCCTCATAAGTGGTGTCTTTGATTTCAATCTCCTTTTTATCGGTTTCGACAAAACTTCCCGAAAACATGGCCTCAAAGTAAACGCTTCCCACCATTAATACGTGTCTCAATGCGGGAACCCTTCGGCCCTCGACTATGAATATAAGATCACTTTTGGGTTCATTCATAAAGAAATTCATTTCTGGAAACAAATCATTGGTTTCTTTGGTTTCCTATAAAACACATGAAATGTGTTAATAAATTAAAATATCATTTAAAAATCAACACAAAGTGTTATACCTTGGGTTTCACGTCCGCCTCTGAATCCCAATTATAGGCCACCTCTTCCTCCTCGACCTCCCAGTCGTCCGCCATATCGTTGTCTTCAATACAAATCAAATGTCAATTAATTTCAAAAATTAAACTCAAAATCAAATCAAAAGTTTTGAAACTATTTTTAGTCGTATTTTGAATGCAAATGAAATGAAGCGATGATTGCATGAAATGAATACAAATATAGCGTTACATTCATTGCATTCAATAACTTATTTACGTTTTCTATGGATTTGAATGCAATTGTTTTCTAATTACAATTGAATTTAAAGTTTTAATCAATAATTAAATGAATTAGTATTTTGTGGTAAAAACACGTAAATTACTGACCAATGAATTGATGTAAGCGTTAAGAGAAGAGATCCAATGTTTACGCAAAGAGTTGTCATTTGAGAGACAATTGAATGAAA